TTTGATTTGCTTACTTGTCAATTGACTGTTGTCTCCCACAAGAAAATAAACTGCACAAGAGGAGACAACTGAGCTCTCATCTATTGGTGTAGATTCGGATCTAGAGTAGTGCATGCCATTCTAGAAGCGCGGGAAATGCCATTGGAAGCAGGTCTGCGTTTCAGAGCTCCCTCCCTCAATTGTGATAGATACTATAAGATCGCAGCTCTGATTGGCATGGATTTTTCTTTTGACGGGGTGTTGCTCTGTCACCCAGGCTGGAGTGACACGGTGCAGTCTCAGCTCACTGCAACCTCCACCTCTCAGGTTCAAGCGATTCTCCTGCCTCAGCCTGCCAAGTAGCTGGGAATACAGACGTGCACCACCACACCTGGCTAATCTTTGTACTGTTAGAAGAGGCGGTTTCACCATCTTGTCCAGGGTGCTCTCAAACTCCTGACTTCAGGTGATCTACCCACCTCAGCCTCCCAAAGTGTTGGGATTACAGGCGTGAGCCACCACACCCAAAAGCATGTCCTTTTAAATCTCACCTGGTATCAGAGAGATAGGAAATGAGAAAGGGTTTTAAAATGACATGCTTTTAAAACCCCTTCTCATTCCCTCTCCCCCTACAGAAGGTGAGAAAATATAAGAACTTTTATTTGAGGACTAAAAGTCCTTTTAAATAATCAGGCCCAGAGAGACACAGTGAGACAGCCATCAAGTCCTACTTCCCCCTCGAGCTACGTATTCATGTCTTCAAACTGCTTTCAGCTGGGTGCAGTGGCTCATGCCTATAATCCCAACAGGTTGGGAGGCCAGGGCAGGAGGATCACTTGAGACCAGGAGTTCAAGACCAGCCTGAGCAACAAAGTGAGAACCTTGTCACTACAAAAAATAAAATTTTAAAAATTAAAAAAAAAAAAACAAAACTGCTCACTATTGCCACAAGTAGCTATCAGTTAACCTAACAATTAACCAAATAATGCCTCACTGGATACTGGACACTATAACCCATACCCAATAGCTTAACAAGGTGTAGCCAATCACTGGTTAATGCCATTTCTGTGAACTAGTGTGAACTCCTGACAAACACTCCCTGTCCCTATTTTCTGCCTTCAAAAATCTACTTGTAACTGCTGCTACTCAGAGTGTATATTTGGGGCAACTTGAATAATGCTCGGGTTGCAGTCTCCCAAGTTTGGCCGAAATAAACTAATTCTGTTAATTTTTTTTCCCTGTTTTTCTCTCTCTTTTTTTTTTCAGGTCAACACTGTTAAAATTCACACTCTGAATGAAGAGACCCCCCCCAATAGGCTTTGTGTGAGCAACATGGCTGTTTATTCATCTGGGTGCGGGCAGGCTGAGTCTGAAAAGAGAGTCAGCGAAGGGGCGTGGGATAGCAGTCGGTTTTCTAGGTTGTGGGGAAGGCAGTGGAAAGTTACAGGAGTTACAGTTTAGTGCAATTTTTTGGAAGCTGAAAGGGGGTCATAGGGTGTGGAGTCACGAGGTTGGCCAAGGTCGGTTACAAAGTCCAGTGGCCTTGTCAATTAAGGCCGGAATAAGAAACAATAGAAGAATGTCTCAGGTTAGTTATGCACCACAGGGGTTGATGGTCCTTCCATTTGTCACGATTTTCCAGCTACTGCAGTTTTTCTAATTCCAGGAGGCCCTCCAGAGGTGTACGTGCGGGTCACAGGGTTGCCCTGCCATCCACGGAGTGATGAGACCTTACGTTCCTGTCTTTTTATATTAGTAATATAAGGAAAAAGAAATGAAGAGTGGAAGGCCGTGGGATACTAGGAAGGCTGGCACAGAGGGGTGACGGGGCGATGTCTCTCAGGGCTTCTTTGAGCGGGGCAGGGGGTGGTGCAGGAATCTAAAGATAGGAAAGAATTTAAACTGCTGGGAGATCTCGGGGCAAGGGTGATAGTGTGGGGTTGTTAGGAGCATTGTCTGTATTGAATGATTGGTTATCAGTTGTATATGATTTTGTAGGAATTGAGAGATTAATCAGAAAACACAGGGTCCAGGTAAGAGAAGGAGAAAGTTGGGTATCAGAGGACGAAGGACTGGAAGAAGCCATGAGTCCTAGTTAGACAGTGTCCAGCCAGTCCAGCCATGTCCAGAACAACCATTTGCCTGATACTGGCCAAGACTGCCTGAAGGAAAAGTGTAGACTGGCACTGTAAACAAAAACAGGGCATGGCTCTTTGGGAGGCTGAGGCAGGTGGATCACGAGGTCAAGAGATCGAGACCATCCTGGTCAACATGGTGAAACCCTGTCTACTAAAAATACAAAAAAAAAAAAAAAAAAAAAAAAAATTAGCTGGGCCTGGTGGTGCGTGCCTGTAATCCCAGCTACTCAGGAGACTGAGGCAGGAGAATTGCCTGAACCCAGGAGGCGGAGGTTGCGGTGAGCCGAGATCGCGCCATTGCACTCCAGCCTGGGTAACAAGAGCGAAACTCCGTCTCAAAAAAGAAAAACAGCATGAAAAGCAAATGAGCACAGTGAATGTGACCACAGTTAGACAGAAAATAGAAGCAGACTTTCTGCAGTGTGGTTTAAGTGGCAGGGCGACTGTTAAATAGTGGTGTTGGGAAAAGATGCCTAATGGCGGTAAAAGGAATGTTAGGGTTCTGTAGGGTTAATGCTTCCACTCTGGGGACACGTGTGAGTTTAAGAGAAGTCGGGGAGAGAACTTGCGGCCTCCAAGAGGAGGAAGAGGAGTCAGGCCGATTGTCTGATGGACACAGCTTTATCCTGGAATGATGGACCCACTGGGGAGGGTCTTGTAGACAGTGGTTGGGGTGCTATAGACGACCAGGAAGGGTTCTGTCCACGGAGGTTGCAGAGACCAAGGGATTAGGCTTTTAACTAGGACTGACCTTCTGGCTAGGGTGCCTTCATATGGCTGGGTATCCGGAATGCAGCCTGGCGGATTTCATGTCTGGCCTGTTGGAGGACTGGTGTCCAGAATAAGCTTAGGGCCCAGCAGAAAGCTGCAGCTCTATAGGAGTTCAAAGGGGCTATACCCTGTGGGTGTTTCCATAAAGAGTGCGTAAAGCTGGAGAAGGCGACGGGCCGAAAGCAAATGTGTGAGATGCAAAGAGGGAACTAAGCTTTGGAGGTTGTGAGAGGCCGGAGGCCTTGCCATCAAGTCCCACAACAGTTACGGAGGCCAAGGAGACAGGTCCTTGAAAAGAAGGCAGGATGGGGTGGGTGGCCCCGTGTTGATTAAGAAGGGGATGGACTTACCCCCAACATAAGAGTTACCCAAAGCTCGGCATCCGTGGTGGTTTAAGGGGCCTCCGAGATGTTCGGGCAGCATCAGTCTTCAGCCACCAAGCCGAGGAGCAGCGGTGTGAGTCGGATAGTCCGACTTTCCGTGGGGCCCCCGCACAGATGTGGCAGGACTTAGGAGGTATCCCGGGCTGTGGGCATTCCTTAGTGGCCAGGTTTCTGACACCTGAAGCAAGGTCAGGAAGGGGCAGCTGGACACTGCAGGCTAGGTGCTTTGAGGCCTTTGTGAGCCTGTCTTACGGCAGAGGCAAGCATCTGTCACGGCAGCGCCTTCCCTATTATTGAACACCTTGAAAGTGAGGTTGATGAATTCCTGTTGTGGGGTTTGAGGGCCAGATTTTAATTTCTGTAGCTTTCTTAATGTTAGGGGCTGACTGGGTGATAAATGCATATTAAGCATTCTTTAGGGGTGAGAGTAGAAGTAAGGATGACATTTAAGTCACTCCAGGTGAGGTCACGGGACTGGGATAAGAACTGGAGGATCTGATGAAAAGGAGCCTAACTGTTGGCCAATGTGGGAAACGTTGGATGAAGAGGAAGGAACGTGCACCCTGACTATGTCTTCAGCTCCAGCCACCTCTCAAAGGGGCCATTGCTGGGGAGGGGCAGAGGGGTTAGCCACAGGACTAAACTGTAAGCCAGACAGGGTATGAGGTGGGGAGGTGACAGGAGGGGCATAAGGAGCATAGTGGGCAGAGGAAGAGGAGGGAGGCTCTGGGGGCATGGGATTGGGCCTGGACTGGGGCCTGGTTTGGACAGGCAGGGAGGAGAAAGGTGTGAAGGGTGGATGGACAAGGAGGATTCTGTGTTACTGACGGAAGCCAGGGAGGCGGACAGAAGGGAGAGAAGGAGCAGAGATTAGGGAGGGAATGGAGTATAAAAAACTGCCTGGACGTCTGGCTCCTTAGACCACTGCTCATTTCGTGACAAAAATTGTTTAGGTCTCACAGAATAGAAAAATTGAAAGTGCCATCTTCAGGCCATTTGGAATTATTGTCTAATTTGTATGGAGACCAGGCCATGTTACTGCAAAAATGAGACATTTAGATTTCAGATCGGGGAGCAGTTGAAGTTTTAGGTTTTTTAGGACACAGGGTAGAGGCAAAGACAGAGGAATAGAGGGTGGAATATTGCCCCTGGCAAAAGAGATAGGTTTTAAGGAAAGGAGCAGAGTAGAGATGAGGAGAAGGAGCGAGCAGCTACTAGGGTTCTCAGCAGGCATCCCTGACTGATTCCTGGGCTATAACGTGGGTGAAGGATCGAGTCAGGCATCCCCGCAATTGACCAGACACCAAGGGAAGACTGTCTTCCCCACTCTGTGACCCACGTCGGAGTTTTTGAGAGAGAGGGAGAGACTTGTCTCCTCTGGCTCTACATGGATAAAGAGTGTGTCTTTGTCTCTACTAGAAGGAGAAAGATTTAAAGGAAAACAGAACGAGGGAGAGATTGCTTACCTGATCTGAAGGTGGCAAGAGAGCTGTTCGGCATGGGAAGGGTGAGCTGCTGCGCTGGGCCGGTCTGATGTGTTGAGGGCTCAGTGGGTCTCTTCCAGAGGGGGAGCAGGGAGAGAGGGCTGGTCTCCTGTCCCATGTGTCAGCACCACATGTTAAAACATGCACTCTAAATAAAGAGACCTGCCAAATGGGCTTTGTGTGAGCAACATGGCTATTTATTCATCTGGGTGCGGGCAGGCTGAGTCTGAAAAGAGAGTCAGCGAAGGGGCGTGGGATAGCAGTCGGTTTTATAGGTTGTGGGGAAGGCAGTGGAAAGTTACAGGAGTTATAGTTTAGGGCAATTTTTTTGCAAGCTGGGAGGGGGGTCATAGGGTGTGGAGTCACGAGGTTGGCCAAGGTCGGTTGCAAAGTCCAGCGGCCTTGTCAATTGAGGCCGGAATGAGAAGCAATAGAAGAGTGTCTCGGGTTAGTTACGCACCGCAGGGATTGATGGTCCTTCCATTTGTCACAATTTTCCGGCTACTTCAGGTTTTCTAATTCCAGAAGGCCCTCCAGAGGTGTACGTGTGGGTCATGGGGGTCATCATGCCGTCCACAGCGCGATCAGGCCTTCCAAACCCAGATTCTCAGAATTAAACATTTTCATGTCCTGGAGGATGACACAAAAATACCTCAAAATGTGTTTGTCAAGAGATTATACTCGGGATTTTGTGGACCATTTTCTAATTTCCAATTCAGACAAAGGCCTCCTAGCAAAGCTGGTCTTTCCTAGGGCATCCCCCTACCCCCCAGCGCCCTGCCTCATTCCTGAATGGCCTGTCCACATAGAGCACTGCCTGCGTGGTCACTGAGGGAGGCAGTTGCATCCCAGAGAAGGTGGTGTCCAGGGCTTGATGAGGAAGCTCTGTGTGTGGCCAGGAGATGTCCCAGGAGCTGGCTGGTGCCCACCTTCTCTCATTTCCTTACCACCCTCCTTCTTGTGTTGCTGCTTTCCCCTTCCCAGCTCTAAACTACCCATGGTGCTGGAGGGCCAGAGAAGAAGTGTTACTACAGCTGCCCCCACTACCCACAACGAGCCCCAGTCTGCACACAGAGGCTCTGGGCTCCTTTTTCCCAATCACAGACGAGAATGTGTGTGAAAGAAGAGGCGCTTGTTCTCTCACTGGAGCTCCAGGATGGGAAGAACTCATCGGTATCACAGGTGATCCAACCTGAAGTCCCTACAGACTGGGCACCCTCTGTCTTTAGAGGCAGCTTCCGAGGGCACAAAGACTTCCAGACTGCAGGACTAAGCCTGTTGTTATCTTTTTCTGGTGCAGAGACTGAAGAGGGAGCTAAGAATTGTGGAGCAAGAACAGCAGCAGCAGCAAGTCTGGTGAGAGAAATGCCAAACTCTCTGCTGTGATTTTCTTTTTAATGGAGTTTCACTCTGTCACTCTCTCTACTCTGACTGGAGTGCTGTGGTACCATCTCAGCTCACTGCAAACTCTGCCCCCTGGTTCAAGCAGTTCTCCTGCCTCAGCCTCCCAAGTAGCTGGGATTACAGGTGTGTGCCACCATGCCTGGCTAATTTTTGTATTTTTAGTAGAGATCGGGTTTTGCCATGTTGACCAGGTTGGTCTGAAACTCCTGACCTTAAGTGATCCACCCACCTTGGCCTCCCAAAGTACTGGGATTATAGGTATGAGCCACCATGCCCGGCCTGCTGTGATTTTTCACTGAAGCTGATTAACTCATTTTTAGCCCCTATTTTTGGTACAAAAACAGAACTGAGGTTGTAATCACGTGATGAGTGTTTCTTGCCCACTGCACAGATAACGTTAATCTATAGAGATTACAGAATTGCAGGAAAGAAAGAGTTTGATGTGAGGCCACCCACATGGAAGAAATGGAGTTACCACACAAACCAGTCTCCCCAGAAGCTTGGAGGTCAGGGTTTTTGTGGACAATTTGGTGGGCAAGGAGCTAGGGAATGGGTGTTGCTGATAGGTAGGGGGTGAAATCATAGGGGTGTGAAAAACGGTCCTTATGTTCTGAGTCTGCCTCTCGGTGGGGCCACAGGACCAGCTGAGTCATGAATCCAGGTGGAGCCCGTCTGAAGAACATCTCAAAAAATCAGCCTTAGGTTCCAAAATAGTGATGTTCTGTGCAGGAACAAATGGGGAAGTACAAATCTTGTGACCCCTGGACACACGAGCCCTGCGTGGTAAGGGATTAATGTGCCTGCATGTTAGCAGAGTTCACTCCCTTCCCACAATTCTTATCTTGTATCCCTTCATTAATCTTACAAAGGCAGTTTTCAGTCCCCGAGCAAGAAGAGGGTTTGTTTTTGGGAGGGACTATTATCATCCTTGATTTCAGGTTTAACTGTAAACTAGGTTCCTCCCAAAGTTAGCTCAGTCTGCAGCCAGGAATGACGAGGACAGCTGGGAAGGCAGAGGCGAGATGGACTCAACTACACCCAATTTCTCTTACTGTCGTAATTTTGCAAAGGCCCTTTCAAGGTCACTCTGCTCATGATCCAACACATCCTCAAGGAGTGAGAGTGAGCCCGTGTGCGTGTCGTGTGACTTTCCGTAACAGGCCTTGCCCTGCAGCCTTCTACCCCGCTGGAACTGGAGTCTGGCCTTGGCTGGTCCCCACCAGCAGGGCTGCCATCACCTCATCTTCGTCTGCCCCACTGCTGTTTCCGAGCCAGTTGAGTCCCCCGAAATGCATACACTGAAGCCCTAACCTCTTGTGCCTCAGAATGGGACTGTATTTGGAGATAGGGTTTTAGAGAGGTAGTCAAGGTTAAATGAAACCACTTGTGTGAGCCCTTATCCAGACTGACTGATGTCCTTGTAAGAAGAGGAAATTTGGGCACTAATACTCACAGAGGAGGAAATCATTTGACAACACAGAGAGAAGAGGGCCAAGGACAGAGGTCTCAGAGAAGCCAGCCCGATGACACTTGGTCTTGGATTTCCAGTCTCCAGAATTACTGGAAAATACATTTTTCTTGTTGAGGCCACCCAATCTGACTGCTTCGCTATGGCAACCCTAGCTAACTCATGCAGTCCCCAACCCGGGGTGAAAATGAAACTTTCCCAACTCAAATAAGCTGTTGGGCCAAGCTTATTTGTAGTAGATTCTTTTTTCAAAGGATCTACACATTGAGATTCTCATGGTATTTCTTGTTAAAAGCATAGGACTTTGAAATGTCTTTTTGTTGCAGATACATAGATGTTCTGAGCCATAATTTTTGGAAAATGCTTTCAAAGAAAGGGAAATCTCCTGAACAAACAGCATGATTAATGGGGATGTAATGACAAAATAATTGGCCCTAATTGGATTTGTGATGTTTGTGCAAGTTGAAATCAGCTTCAAAATCCAACGTGCGCATGAAAGAATTTTCAATATCATGCCTTAAATTAAAACCACAATTAAATCACCTCACATTTATTAGTGTAGCTACCATTAAGAAAAGGCAAAACAAAACAGAAAACAGCAACAATAGCCGGCAAGGATGGGGAGAAATTGGAAGCCTTGTGAAGCCATCCCACAGTGTTGACAAGAATCGCATGCTGGGTTCTGGACGGAGATGGTTCTAATTCAGTCCTAATCAGTTTGCACTTGGCCCACTTCCTCATTGTCAAAAGTCCCATCACCCTAGATGCTGACCATGTACATCCCAGCTGTTCCTATAGACAGGATCTCTGACGTTAGAATCATAAGGTTTTTGTTTAAGGATCACTTATGATGTTTTTCAGAGCCCAAATTCCAACAGCCAGTTTGAAGACTCCCACAGAGTAACGGGATCAGCATGAGAATACAGCCTCTTCATCTCCCTATCCTGTGACTTCACCCTGCACTCTTCCAACCAGTGATCTCCACATTGCAGCCCATTCCAAAACCCTAAAAAACCCCTACCCCCAAACTCCTCAGGGAGACAGATCTGAGGTTTCCTCTCATCCCCTCATTTGGTGACCTGATGATTACACCTCTTTGCCTGCTACAACCTCGTGTCTCAGCTTATTGATTAGCTGTGTGCATTGGGCAATGAACCTATTTCAGTTACACTTGTGCACTGTTGGCAGGAATGTAAAATGGTTCAGCTACTATGGAAAGTGGTATGAAAGTTTCTCCAAAAGTCAAAAATAGAAATTCTCAGGTAACCCAGCAGGCCCACTTCCGGGCATGTATATCCAAAGGAAGTGAAATCAGTATCTCAAAGAGACATTTGTACACCCATGTTCATAATACCATTATTCATACTAGCCAGAAAGTGGAAACAATCCAATGTCCATTGACAGATGCATAGATGAACAAAATATGGTGTATACATAACAATGGAAAATTAATTCAGCCTTGAAAAGAAACGAAGTCTGACATGTGCTGTAACATGAATGGACCTTGAGGACGGTATGCTAAGTGAAATAAGTCAGAAGCAAAAAGTAAGATTGTACAATTCCACTTACATAAGGTACCCAGAGTGGTCCAATTCATGGAGACACAAGGTGGAGTGGTGCTTGCCAGGGGGTGGGGGAAGGGAAAATGAGCAGCTATTTAAACAAGATCAGAGTTTCAGTTCGGAGATGATGACTGAGCTCTGGAGATTGATTGCACATATGAACATAGTTAACACTATGGCATTGTACATTTAGAAATGATTGAGATGGAAAATTTTATGTGAGATGTATTTTACCACAATTAAAAATTTAAAAGAAAAAATCAGCTACAAGGATTTCTAAGTAAGGAAGTCTTGGGCCTTATTTTGCTGTGAGGAAAAATAAAACCTTTTGGAATATTGTAGGAAAGAAAGAGGGCAAGAGTCACCTTGCTCTGCCTCAATTCAGCAGAGTTTTTGTGGAACTCAATTATTGATTGACAGTAGAAGCTTTTGCTGGATAATTTTTCACTTTTTCTGATCATCTGGGGTAGAGTTTTAAGCCTTTACTAGACCTCCAGTTACAGAGCTATAGAATTCATTTGGCCATGTTGCTCTCCCATTCCTTCACAGTTTAAAAACTTATAAACTTTCTCTTTCTATGGTGTTTGGTTCTATAATATTTTCTCAGCAGCTTATAAAATTGTCAGTGTTCCACCTCCTGATTCTGATGGCCGTTTTCATAATCGTTGTAGCAACGGCAACACTGGTTTCCATCTGAACTTGCAGCCGCAGAGCATGAGGGGAATAACAATTGAACCTAAACAACTGCTTTCCAGATTTTGTGCTAGCTGTCTAATTCAAACCACCTATCTATCTGTCTGTCTGTCTATCTATCAACTATCTATCTATCTATCTATCTATCTATCTATCTATCTGTCTATCTATCAACTATCTATCAACTATCTATCTATCAACTATCTATCTATCAACTATCTATCTATCTATCTATCAACTATCTATCTATCTATCTGTCTGTCTATCTATCAACTATCTATCTATCTATCTATTTATCTATCTATCTGTCTATCTATCAACTATCTATCTATCTATTTATCTATCTGTCTATCTATCAACTATCTATCTATCTGTCTATCTGTCTATCTACCAACTATCTATCAACTATATATCTATCTATCTGTCTGTCTGTCTATCTACCAACTATCTATCAACTATCTATCTATCTATCTATCTATCTGTCTGTCTGTCTATCTACCAACTATCTATCAACTATCTATCTATCTATCTATCTATCAACTATCTATCTATCTATCTGTCTATCTATCTATCAACTATCTATCTATCTATCAACTATCTATCTATCTATCTGTCTGTCGTCCATCCATCCATCCATCCATCCATCATCTATCTCATAGCTCTGTGGAATTAATTTAATTAATAATTAACTATTGTAGCCTACAGAATGTTAAGATAATTCTGTCATGATTAATGTTCCTAAACCTATCCATAGGCCTCCCAGAGAAAATGAGTTTGTTGGGCATGGCCCTTAAACTCTAAGAGTATTATTTAATAAATTAGTGGTATACTGAGGCAGACCATCTGTATAGCTTTATAAACATTTACTTGGTTTTGTAAACAAAAACCTACCATGGAAAATGTCACGCACCACTCTTGAAGGCACTGTAGGATGTAAAACTGTTACTTAAAAAAAATATTTACCATTGAAGTTCATGTAGCCAATATTAGGGGCGTTAGGGCAATAGGGATTCATCAACAATTTACATACAGCCTCTCAGAAAATCAAGGAACAACCCCCTGTAATGGAGACTATATTAAGTAGTTGTAAGAATCTTATCGAATGAAGAGAATCCTGGCCAGATGCAGTGGCTCATGCCTGTAATCTTGGCAGTTCGGGAGGTGGACACGGGGATTGCTTGAGCCCAGGAGTTTGAGACCAGCGTGGACAACATATTGAGACCCTGTCTCTACATAGAAATTAAACAAGGAGCCAGGTGTCGTGGCGAGTGTCTGTAGTCCCAGCTACCTGAGAGGCTGAGGAGGGAGGATGCCTTGAGCCCAGGAGGTCAAGGCTGCTATGAACTGTCTTTGTGCCACTGTGCTCCATCTCAAAAACATAAATTAATAAAAATTTAAAATAAACTGAAAAATCAAGAGACTCTTTAAACTTATTTACCACACTTAATACCCTTCCGGAAGCAGTGCTGTTGGAAGAGCCCGCAGGTTAAGTGCGCTGGACCTTCTCGGGTTGGGGAGTGGCTGCCTGAGAGGGCAGGCCTTTCCTATAGCAGGATTTTCGGTCGTGCACACCCTCTAGCATGAGTATTAACATACGGCGGAGGGCAGTCACCACCCCCAAAGAACGATAATATTGTGGAAAACATTTTTTCAAACAAAATTCGTATATTTCAGTAATTACGTTAAGCACACCAATCTTGAGACTATCATGTACTGTTGTCAATTTTCAACGCCTTTTTTGAGATTTTAATTAACATGGAAAACCACCACCCACTGTAAGAGTATAATTCAGTGATTTTTCATCAATATTATAGAGCTGTGCAATTATCGCCACAATCCAATTTTATTTATATATTTGTTTGTTTGTTTATTTTGAGATAGAGTCTTACTCTGTCGCCCAGGCTGCAGTGCAATGGTGTGATCTTGGCTCACTGCAAACTCCGCCTCCTGGGTTCAAGCAATTCTTCTGCCTCAGCCTCCCAAGTAACTAGGATTACAGGCACCCACCACGAGGCCCAGCTAATTTTTGTATTTTTAGTAGAGATGGGGTTTCACCATATTGGCCAGACTGGTCTCGAATTCCTGACCGCATGTGATCTGCCGACTTTGGCCTTCCGAAGTGCAGCGATTATGGGTGTGAGCCATCGCACCTGGCCCAGAATCCAATTTTAGAACATCACCATCTCCCCAAAAAGGTAATCTCCACCCCTACTCTCACCCTTTGGCAATCATTGATATGCTTTTCATCTCTAAGTATTTGCCTTTACTGAACATTTTATAACAATGGTGACATATAATATGTGGACTTTTTTTATTGGTTTCTTCCATATAGCCTAATATTTTTGATATTCAGTCACATTTTTGAGGCAGAGATGAGTAGAAGGCCATGACGGCAGGCAGTGAAGAGCCAGGCCCTGAGGTCCAGGTGAGCATCATAGCCAGTAGATCAGCAGATACCTGGGAACAGAGGACAGTCAAAGACCAGCCACGCCCTGCTCACAGAAACAAACTCATACACGGAGAGCAGTGCACGAGACTGAGATTGCTCCTCAGTTAGGTTATTTTGGGGAGTGGAGCAGCGATCCCCACTTACATCAGCAGAGAGGAAAAGAATCACCCCCAAGTTTGTGGCCATGACATTTTTTGCTCATACATTTGTAAACCTTTCTTCCCCACCTTGTAACCACATTCACATCGATACGAATACCTATGTGTACAGAGTTTAGTGCTGTTGAAAACGCTGCTGCATGAGTCATGTTGCTCCAAGCTTACAGAGGACGCTGATCTCTGAAGGCTGCAACAGCTTGCCAGTAGCAGAGCTCAAGCTGAGTGTCCGTGGCTGCAAGTGTGCGCCCTGCCGGCGCATCCTCACTGCTCAGCCTCGAAGCTGAACCTATTTTTTTTTTTCCTGACGATGTCTTGCTCTGCCACCCAGGTGGGAGTGCAGTGGTGTGATCTCGGCTTACTGCAACCTCCCCCTTTCAAATTCAAGTGATTCTCCCAGGTAGCTGGGATTACAGACTTGTGCCACCATGCCCGGCTAATTTTTGTATTTTTAATAGAGACGGGTTTTGCCATGTTGGTCAGACGGGTCTCAAACTCCTGACCTCAGGTGATCCACCTGCCTTGGCCTCCCCAAGTACTGGAATTACAGGCGTGAGCCCAGCCAGCAGAACTTGTCTTCGGGAGACTCACCAAATTACCCTGTGTGACTACTTACTTTTTTAAAGGCAATGCAGTATTTGAAATACAGAATCACAAATTAAATCAATATTGGTAAAAATAAAGCCTTTCTAGTATAGACACCACCAGAATTAACAGACTGTTTCCACGGTCCCTGAGCCAATAGAAAGGTACACTTCTTTTTGCCTTAGACACAAATGTGCTGTTTCACTTCACACCAACGATCTGAATGAAATTGACTTTCTTGCTAAGTGCACCTGCGCTACTGCCTTGTACCTCTATACCTCCGAGTTCCTCAGCAGCAGGGAGACACATCGAATAGTGATTCTCAGTTCTTCCAGAAACCCTCCCTTGTGGTCCTGCCTGCAGCTTTCTCATTTGTACCTTAGTAGTATCGTCGTACGTTTTCTAATAAGTGTTCCCAGGCCATGTTCTCTGTGACACTAGAGTTCAGCAAGAGAGTACTAGATGTTCTGTAAAAAACAAACAAAAACAGTTTATGTCCAAATAATTTCAGAAAACATAAGTTAACACGAATTTAAACAGATTCTTTATTGTAAGGATTTTTTTTTTTTTTTAAGACAGAGTCCCGCTCTTTTTGCCCAGGCTGGAGTGCAACGGCATGATCTCGGTTCACCACAACCTCTGCCTCCTGTGTTCAAGTGCT